GAACGGTGTTGTCAATAATAACAATAATGACTATTGTTATTGTTATTGTTATTGTTATTGTTGTTGTTGATGATGATGATGATGATAATAATAATAATAATAATAATAATAATAATAATAATAACAATAAACAAAAGTTAAAGTATGATGTTGTGATAATGAGTGGTGACGTTATTATTAGTAGTAACATTATTTTATTATTATTATTATTATTATTATTATTATTATTATTGTTGTTGTTGTTGTTGTTGTTGTTGTTAATAATAATAATAATAATTATTATTATTATTATTATTATAATAATAATAATAATAATAATAATGATATTATTATTATTATACTAATTACTGTTATTTTTTATTATTATTATTATTATTATTATTATTATTATTATTATTAATATATTTAATTTACTTTATTTTATTATTATTATTATTGTTATTATTATTATTATTATTATTATTATTATTATTATTATTATTATTATTATTATTATTATTATTATTATTGTTAAATCATCTGTGGTTACTTAAGGTTATTGCCTTTGCCCTTTAATTCCACTGCTTGAGTCACTTCCTCCCAAAGGCTCAACCCTGCATGAACCTGTAATACACATAAATAAATAAATAAATAAATAAATAAATAAATAAATAAATAAATAAATAAATAAATAAATAAATAAATAAATAAATAAATAAATATTCTACATCTATTTGCGTTTCTACGTGGTACTGATACTCACGCCAACCAGCTTTTCTGCCCTTCCTCTCTCTAAGATGTGTCTCACTCTTCATCCTCTCGTGTTGCTCATACACCTCTGATGTTTGAAATGCATTAGTGTCAGAATCATCCATAACCTGGAACAAACACAGAGTTTCAAATATCTTGAATATTTGGTTTATTTGTATGTTTGCTATGGGGCCTTTCATTGTTTGCTTCTTTCTTTGTTTTACCTGCAAAAACTCAAAAATGATGCCCCAGAAGATGACATAATACATTTGTCAAATTAATTACATAAGCAAAGTAAAAGTTAGTGTATTGAAAATTTGCTTATACAACTAGTTTATTAAATGTTTTTACCACAGAAAATACATCAAAGCCTGAAAGTTCATATTTGTATAATAATTTGATTCATTTTTTCTCCAACAAAGCATACATTTATTTGTAGTGTAGCATTGGGTTTATTTTAGAGTAACATATACCGGATTACACATTAAAATAATTAATTCAGCATTATTTCATTTTTTATTTATTCATTATTTATTCTGAATTTCACTGTGAATCACAAAAGAGACGTGGCTGGTTAGGACAAAATCTAGCACGAAAGGTTACAAGAGAAGATTTTAAAAAAATAACTGCACAACAACTGTACAACATACTAGTGTTATAATACATTTTAAATATCTTTTAGACTTTGACATCATATTGAAGCTCCGACATTCAGGTGACTCTGACACAATATATTTTCTAACTGGTCAGAATCATGGTTACATTAATCATTCAAGTGTACTTAACACAAAAAAGTGCCCTTATGCCTGTGAATAAGACTGGGATAGAAACGTACAGTAATGGAGGTCTCATATAAATCTCATATAAAGGCCCACATGGAATCTGAGAGCAGATTTTTAGCCCAATCATACAGTCTAATGATTCAATTGTGTAAGTGTAATTTGTTATTTATTGTTTTTAAATTGATTTCAATAATATTATTGAGTAATATGAAAATGTTTATATGATTTATTTACAATAGAGATTGTAAAGTAATATTTTCTGTCTTTTATATTGATGTTTTATAAGAGACTTGCTTTATTTACCAAATATGTAAATCAAACTGGATTTGCATTGTAAACATTAAATAAAAGTTTTAAAAAGGTATTATTTATTACTTTATATATTAAGCTTTTAGTTATGATACTAAAATTAATAAATTAATGCAGATTTTTCACAAAATTCTACATAAAAATAGCAACAAAAAAAAAAATGTCAGCAGATTCAAAATATGTTCGCAGGTCTGGCCCTACATATGACTCAATCATGAGCATAATGTCCTATGTAACCCACATCACCCTAGATACCACCAAATATACTACATTTGAAAAATCACGAGATTAATATCTCTGGATCAGAATGCTATAGAAAACAATCAGCTGGACACATCTAACTCAAACTGCTAAATAGTCTTCAAATATCCGACAACAGTCAAACCAGTTGGCACTTCATTCCGCTGTGGTGATCTATGATAAATCAGGGACAAAGCTGAAGGAAAATAAATGAATGAATATTCGAACTGTCAATCCCAGCTCTAGCAACCATTTAAAGCAAACTATTAAACTATTTTTGTTTTTAGTTTGATTTTAGTGCTTATTGTCCCAGTTTTTATGCAGACTAGGAAACAGAACATATTTTCAGTATGCAATACTTTTTAATAATTAGCTGGCCCTGTTGAACACGATTATTTTTGACCTCATGGCATATGAGTTGTTTGTCAATGATTTTAGCTGCAGGATTATTTTAAAGGTTAAGCATTTTATATGCGAATGTTAATATGGGTCAGTGTGGCTTCAGTCAGCTGTCCTGAGCTCTGACTCATAAATGTGAGCTCAACAGAAGGACTTCAATAGAGGATCTAAAACACTATTATCAAAATGAAGACATGACACATAAAATGTCACGATTCCTATCTCATTGCTGGCACTGGGAGCAAACGATCACCCCAGGTTAGAGAGGAGGTCTTTGGAAATTCTTAACACAGAGAGATAATGATATACTAAGGGTGACTGGAATGACATGAGTCTATATAATTTGATTAAGAAACCTGATTTAACTGTAAGGTTGATCTTCAGGGCAAGGGTACCTAAATGTATAGTTCTTCAAGAAAAAAAAAAAGTATTATAATATAAATGATGTCCTCAAGTTTTACCTAACCTATATGACTTTTAGTCTGACAGTTTAGTCTGTTCACTACTTTGACTTATGGACGCTGACAATGAAGGTAAAGATCCACATGCAGTTTGTTAAAGAGTAATCGTACAGGCAATGGTCAACAACAGGGACGAGCAGGAGCATGTAGGAAAATCAAAAGAGCGTAGTCGAAAATCAGGCAAAAGTTCAAGAAAGGCATCAAAGAATCAACAAAAACAATAAACAATGAAAAGGGTCAAAAATCTGGTGGGGCAAACAAGGAAATAAACGTTTGTAATGCTTCACTGGGAAAAGAAGACTCAGCAAAGTGTTAGTGAAAGTGAGTGGTATAGTCCATGTAATCAGTGGAGATGAGTTACAGCTTTGTCTGTGTGTGAGTGTCTGGATTGTTGTCAGCTGTGGCAGGAGTTAATAAGTGCAAGGAGTTCTGGGAGATAGAGTTCAGCAGGAATACAGATAGTAATCTCCAGTGGAGAAACATCGCTGGCGATCACAACAATTACAATCTGCAAATAATACATAATCATTTTATATAACTAACTGATTAATTTAGGGTTGTATGCACCCATTTGGATTAATACATATACAAAGGGCACTTTAAATATGTTTAGCAGAACTCTACAATATATATATATATATATATATATATATATATATATATATATATATATATATATATATATATATATATATATATATATATATATATATATATATATATATATATATATATATATATATATATA